AAACAGAACGTGCTGTTCCGTGACAATTTGATAATTAGATTAGTTCCTGTTTATCGGTCAAAAGAAAATTGGCGTTTTAAATAAAGCAAATCGTTCCTCTTCCATTTCTTCATCCGACATTCAACTTTCTTCCATTTATCTCCAGCTGTGAAAAGGATACTAGCACATCTTCCGTGTGTTTTCGAGAAAACAAGAGTTTTAGGTTACATACCTTTGCGAGGAAAACAAAAGTATCAAGTTACAAACGTTTTCGTGAAGAGTAAAATTGTCACGTTAAAACTTAAATGTATTATTTAATTTACAATGTGCAAAAATCAACGTAAAACACTACAGTAAAATTCGAGAGCTGTCTTGACAAAAGGTAATTAATTGTAAGTTATTCTTGGACTGTGAATGAAAATACACACATCAAACATACACACTGTTAAGATTATGTCTCATCAAAATCCCTAGCTGACTAGCAATGTCAGTACAAACCAGGAGTGGGTTAAATAGGAACTGTGTCATGAGTACTGCGTCAGAGCTATGCATTACACTCTGCACTATCTGAGATTGTCTCACTAGTTAAAGTTGTTGTTCAGTAGTGACAATATTTTTCTGGTCCTTATGCACTTTTCTTAGCAAAATAGACAACGCTCTGTCTTTTACCCTGCAACACGACGTTAACGGCGTTCTGCAATACAAGCAACTGTCATAACTTTATGCATAACAAAGACTTTTAAAATTAGATTATGAGCTAGAGATTTCCATCGCGTGATAGTTGACGAGTCGGCGTAGCCCAATCGAGTCAGCTGGCACGCATAGAATTCGGGAGCGAATGATCTAATTGTTTTAGTATAAATCTACTCTCATCTAAATTCTTTTCGCAAACACTTCCAAAACGCAAAACGTCATTTTGTTAACAACCGCACACTGCTACAACAGATTATATAATAACCCAAGTTATTCTCGCATTTTGATTGGTTCTCACCTATGATCTATTAGGGGACAGACGCACGATTAACGTCATCATTAAAAAGTTTTTTCCTTTTTTCACAGCAGCGTGCAAAGTATAGCTCACTACAGCTCACGGCCAACTGTATCGCCGCAGCTAAAAGGCGTCTCCGACACTATTTCAAACTGATTTGAGAATCACCAAACACAAAGGACACAAATTTGCACCGTCACTAACGCTCCTTTCACTCCTGCAATATTCAAGGCAACGTCCAAGCTTTTCGACTCACAGGGCTGCTCTGACGACAAAAACTGACTTGACTTATCTAGCATTTTCTTTAAGATTTGAAGATTTTGCAGTTCAATTTTGCTTTCGCTGTAAGTTTTCATTCCACGAGAAGCCACGCTCGAGTCAAGTTTGACAGTGGCGTGATTTTCCTGCACCAATCACAATTCTTTGCAACGCATAGCAACCAATGAGATTGCTTCATTTTGTATAGACAATATATTACGTCAAATGGCTTTTTTCGCGTTCGCCAAAGTGGGCAAAGGCCGAATTTCGAGTTATGTTGAAAGATTTTGAAATAAAAAAGCTTTATCTGTGGTAGTTTGTTTCGTTACAGGTTTTTATGGTTTATAGGCTGATAAACCACGCGGGATGTTGGAATAACAACAAGTGGTTTATCATGCCTGTAAACCGTAGAAACTTGTGGTTTATTGCTTTTATATAATAATTCAGAAGACAAGCGAAATTTCCCTGAGTTTACTGCACAACAAACCATAGCTGATCGACCAATCAGAGCGCGCGCACTCATTTAATTATTATATAAAAAACAAATAGATTCCACATTGCCGTGCGTCTGTTCAGTAACAGATCATTATTTCTTGTGCGATGAAAGTAAAATCGCAATTGGCCGAAATCAGTCCGTGAGCGGTCCATTAGCGGTCCGTATTGCAAACTACACACTGTTCATACAACCAATCAGAATTCTCCTTTTCACCCCAGACCGACTGAGCCATGTAATAAATGAAAGATATAATAGAACTGCAGAGAAAGACGCACAGACATAAAGATCATCACAGTTGGGTACACAACATAAGCACCTGTGAAAATAAAGCCTGAAAAAAACATTCAAGCTTAAACTCGATTCAAAGCCATGACTAGACAGTTGTAAAAGGGTGCGAGGCTTCTTTCCTAAACGAGATGGATGTAAAGTGAAAATATTGCGATTCAGAAGAGGAGTAAAATAAAGTAGATGATCTTATGAAACATCGATCTACCGCGATTGCTCACAGGTAGTATTTTAGACCTCTTCAGATCAATTTAGAGAACAACCAACCAACGGCTGAAAAAGCGGTTTTCGCGTACAGTTCGCGAAAAAACATTGACAGTGTTGTAAGTAAGGTTCAAACTTTATTATTGAAAATCTCAGAAACGAATATTTCGTTTCAGTGGCTCTAGACTTTGTTTAAGTGTCAATAAGTATTTAGCTCTTAGGGGAGGGTCCTGACTAAAACCAGCCTCCTGGCCCTCCAGGTTGGGGGTTAGGCGTAAGGTTGACAACCTCACCCTATAAAAAAGATTTTGTCACGGAAACACCAACAAGAAATCTTCAACCTTTTGGTCACCAAGGGAACTCAGAGCCTTCACGGGCTAGAATGACCAGTGGCAATGAAAGCCAACAGGAAGCTGTGGCTGCGAGACTGGGAGCCTTGAGCACCAAGACAAAGACAAGACTAGGATTCTGGAATGTAAGAACAATGTTTAGCACAGGAAGGCTCGCGCAGATCACCAGAGAGATGAATGAAAATAAGCTTCACATCCTTGGTATTAGTGAGTGTAGATGGACACAGCAGAAGAACGAAGATTAAGATCTACCAAGCTTGTGCACTCTCTGTACTACTCTACGGATCTGAATGTTGGAGAATGACTGTGCATGACTTGAGAAAGCTGCAAAGCTTTCACACATCTTATCTCCGAAAAATCTTGCACATCTTTTGGCCAAAAAAGATCTCCAACAATGAGCTCTTTAAATTGACAGGACAGGAGGACATGAGTATTGTTCTTACACGGAAACGATGGAGTTGGGTTGGTCATGTGCTCCGCAGAGAATCTACCAGCATTTCTAAAGTTGCTCTCAGATGGACACCAGAGGGTAAAAGAAAAAGAGGCTGTCCAAAATCCACCTGGAGAAGAACTGCAGAAGCAGAACTTCAGGCTCTAAATCTTACCTGGGGGCGAGCTTCATGGCTTGCAAAGGACCGACAGGAATGGAGGCGACTTGTTGATGCCCTATGCGCCACTGGGCGTTTAAAGGACTGATGAAATGAATGAAGTATTTAGCTCTAAGCTAAGAGCTAATTGACCAATTTCGATATATTAAAATTCAGCCTAACATACATGTCATAGACCTCAGCACGAGGCTCTGGGGAATAAACCCCCACAAACGCTGTAGTTATTCCCCAGAGCCTCGTACTGAGGTCTATTGTTTTAGGCTGAATTTTGATATATCGAAATTGGTCTTTTGGAGACACTTAATTAAAAGCTAAAAACTGAACAATAAAGAAAAATATAGAACTGAATAACCACCATAAAACAATTGTTTGAGAACCCGACCCGTCCTCCATGGATT